AATAATAATAATAATAATAATAATAATAATAATAATAATAATAATAATAATAATAATAATAATAATAATAATAATAATAATAATAACACTATTAAAATAGAAAATTTCCCGTTAATGATGAAAAATTTTAAAATTTAAACGAATAAATTTATTTTCTTGATAATGGAATAATTTCGAAAAAAAAAATTATATTCACCAATGAATACATTCAATTTTGATATTTCATACAACAATAGTATCATTTCCACATGAGGAACAGTAGCGGATTAATTAGATTGGAAATTTTGGTCATCCCATTCATTCATTCTTTTATCGGTCATGTCAAGTGTGAGAATTTTGTCATGATACCTTGTTATTCCGATATTGTTTGTATCTTTCTAATAAGTAATAAAGAGATACTCGTGATATTGAGGATTTTCCACGGGAATTAAACTTTAATCATAGAATTGAAATTAAGACTTTCAATGTTCCATTTTCTTTCCTTTTTCTTTTTTTTTTTCTATTCTTTCATCCTTTCCTCTATTCTTTCATTTTTTTTTTTCTATCCTTTCAACCTTCCTAAATGATCCTTTTTCTTTTTTCAACAACTTCTATTAAGTCCACTTGTTCGTATTATATTATTCACGAATACTTCAATAATCTTCAAAGGGATACCGCTATTCTGCGATATTATCGATATCTTTTCTCATCAAAACATTTCCATCAACCATGATTACTATAAACTAACACTACTGTCATCATAAATAATACATTCCAATGTATATTTGCATATATTTGCATAATATATATCATCTATTCATCAAATTTATTGCATTTATTTTATGAAATTTATTTAAAAAGTTTCACAAATTTGTAAAAATGATTTGAGGTCATTGAGTGTCATCAAAATGATTATTAATGTGATTATGATTTGTTACCGTTATTACTACTATTATTATTATCATTGTTATCAGTGCTATTATTATCATTGTTATTATTATTACTGTTATCACCGCTATTATTACTATTATTATTATAATTATCTTATGCCCATCATAATGTAATTATAATAAGACTGTTTTAAATCTATCGTTTAGGGTCATTTCTTATAGAGCATTCATTTGACAAGCTAACATTGCTTTGGTCAATGGTCAGCTTTGAACAGAATCCAATGAAAATAATATTTGCTAAAATATTCGTTGCATTTTTTTGTAAGCTTTTTTTTTTACAAAACAATTGTTAAACAAAAAGCTTGGAAAGCAAAAAACAATTTTAATATGAATTAAAATATTTGTCAACTATTGGATATTTTAATTTGTTTTGGTGAATAAAATGTTTATTTTGTTAAAATTGAAACATTAGTTGATATTTTTACATAAAAAAAAAAGTTTTTAATTGTACTATCCGTTATGACAGGAAAAAAAATAAAGGAAGAAATGAAATAATAACGATGGAAAAGACAAACAAACAAATAAATAAAAGTATAAATAAATAAATGAAAGAGAAACAAATGAAGTAAACAAATGAACAAACAAATTAATAAACAAGCAAATAAATCAAATAAATATGCATGAATATTTATACAATTTTAATATAACAATAATTGGATATTATAAAAATTTGGTTAATAATTTCTGAAAATTCGCAGCAAATTTATTTTTCAAAGTTACTAATCGAAAAATTTGTAAAAAAGAAAAAAGAATTACAAAATTAAACAAATTGTGAAAAATGTTGAAACTAGTTAAATAACCTGTTACGGTGAAAGTTATAGTACAAAACCTGTACCTGTTCAATGATACCATAAACTTTGTTCCATTATGTATCTTTTTCCCTTCCAAAATAATGCTCTGTTAAAAATTAAAGATTCCTTTTTTGGATTAAAAAAGAACTGGCAAATTTAAAAGAACATTAATAAATAATTCGAAATGTTCAAAAACTAATTTCTTACGAAATATTAATTTATTTTCCATATTTGTTTATTTATTTCTCGATAAAATTATCATAATTGTATATATTTTTTCAAATGATATTTGTAAATTTATTTTTAAACAAAAAAGAAAAATAACAACAAATTATTTTCGTTAACAATTTAAAATATGACGATTTTTTTTTTTGTTTTGTAAATACTTAATGTACTGATATTTGTTCAAAAAAAAAAAATTAAAAAACTGCAAAAGTGAAATAAAATTACAAAATTTGCCAAACAATAATAATATATAATTATGTTAGGAAAGGAATAAATAAATATTCAATTTTCAAATTATCTGAGTCAACATAGGACATAGACTTCATTTTGTTTTGAAATAGTAATGGAACAAATGAAATGTTTCAGTTAAATAATTCAAATTCTGGAACAAAAAAATAAATTCCCTGTATTTTATTTAAATTTCGAATTTAAATTAATTTTGACTTTTAAGTTTAAATTGAATGTAAAACATTTTATAAGAAATAAAATGAAAATTGGTTATGAAATAAATTCGAAATTTCACAATCCATTCAATAAGATTTAACATATAACACGAATTTTTTGTACATCATAGTTAAGATGTGTGCCATATACGAAATTTGATTTTATAATTAAAGCTTAATTATTGCTCGTTCCAAATTTGTAAAATCATGCAAGTTTACAAAAATAAGAAAATTTTAACTTCTATTTTTAAAAATTAAGAAATAATAACAAATAACAAATATTATCAAAAATAATTTGTGAAAAGAAAATTCATTAATAATTATATTTGTTAAATTTAAATTTCATAAAAAGTATATTGCGAAATAATTGAAATTGAAAATATATTTATGCTTGCATACAAACTTCGATCAAAAAATAACGAAAATTGTTTGGTAGAAAAAAAAAAAAGAAATTATGCATTAGAGACAAAGTGATAACAATTTTGGGTTTGCTAATGTTTTCTGTGTTACTATATTGGAAAGAATAAGAGATGTAACGTTGATCGGTAAAAAAAAAAAAACGGAAAAAAAACGGAAAAAAAAAGAATGGATCCTGAAGTGAAATAACAAACATTTCGGTAATAGCATTCATTTTCCAATTCTCTTCTATTTCATATTCCCATTCCGTTTTCTTCCGTAATTCCTATTTCCTCTTTAATATATGTTTTCTTTATTAATGTATCCATTTATTCTCGCATATTTTTTCAATTTTAATATCATATAAAATGAGGAATTCATCATCATCATTATCATCATCATCATATATCATACCTGATTAGAATTGGATAAATGGGTAAGGTAAATGATTGGTTGTTTTATGGTAACTAAAAGGTATCACCTATCTCTCTCTCTCTCTCTCCCTCTCTTCCCTCTCTGCTTGATTAAAAGGGAAAGGGTAGAAGGAAGATGAATATAATATATATATATATATATATATATATA